GGTCTGCCTCTGTGTATTAGCAATATGCGGGTAAAGTACTTGCATATAAAAATGTAAGTAGTACTCCCTGTAACATTCCATGTAGTATTATTTAATGCATAGACTTACTATAATATTCACCGTATAACAGTCCCTTCATTTTTATTCTTGGCATAAACAATCTCTGTATTATAATCCCAACAACAACTAATATTTGAACCGACCCACCCATAACAACATGTTCACTATTTCTCTGGAGCCAGGAATGGGATTGACAATGAAATAAAAGAAAACAAATAGGATTGACACATCCTCTATTTCTCTGGAAAACTGATATATGAGAACAGCCAGTTTTCTTCTACTGAATGATTCTCTTGTGTATCAGGCCGATATATCACTGTCCTTCTTGCAACCTTTGTCGTGTTGGACACGGTCTTGGAATTGATTTTTATCATTGCATGAAATGCAATTGTTGTCTGGGAAAAGGTTTGGTAGATCACAAATGTTTGGAGAAGGCGTTAGAAACAAATTGTCCCATTTGCTGTGAGTTTTTGTTTACTTCCAGTGCAACAGTTAGACCTCTGCCTTGTGGGCATTACATGCACTCAGCTTGCTTTCAGGTGAAAATTCAAATCACATTGTCCAGTATGCATACTTGCTTTGACTTCTAAAGACTTTTGGGAACTAATTCACTTTATTTAAGTTTGCTTAAGTTTAATCATGCTCTCTCTGCCAGGCATATGCTTCCAGTAACTACATTTGCCCGATATGCAGCAAATCCATGGGTAATATGGCGGTAAGAGAATTTTCTCTTGATCTCCTTCTATAATATTCTTTTTAGGTTGCACTATGTGACTAAAATGTTTATCGTTGCTGCCTCCAAGCACGATAGCTGGCAAAGTGAGGAGTACGTGCATGTTAAAGTTGTGAAGTTGTGTTCTTTGTTGTTGAGTATCAGGTAGTCTGATGTTTTGTGATCACTTTTTGAAAGTATCATACAGCAGCTATGAAGAGTGTTCATTTTTTTTGAAAATTCAATCATTTTCTTTTGATTTGTGGGTCGTGCCTCTCCTCACTGCATCTTTTTTCTCCTTTTTCGTGTTCTTGATTTTCCTGGGAGGGGGGCAGTCTTTGAGGGTTGGTTGGATGGGTTCTATTCGCTGAGCTGTTGTAATTCATAAAATTGTCCTTGAAGGTGTAATTAGTGCGAAGGACTTCTGAGAGAATTGGATATTTTAACAGTAATTGGCATTTTGTTTGCCAGGTTTATTTTGGAATGCTCGATGCTCTGCTGGCTAATGAGGTTCTTCCAGAGGAGTACCGGAATCATTGGCAGGTTTGCCTTCTTAATTAACTTTTCCGTTTCACATTTTCTTTCAAGTTCTTGGACTTGCATTAACATATTTGGTAAGGTTTTCAATTTGTCGATGGGATGGAGAACATGTATAGTATGATTCTTCGGTCATGTTGGTGGGATGAAAAAGCTTATATAGCATGATTATTTGGTTGTCTTCTTAAGTAATTTCTTTTGTTTGCTCCATAAAACTTAAAGAAGTCTAGAAGGAGCAGAAGAGATGGCAACCAGAAGAGTGATTTTGTTTTGTGAGTTGTTGTTGCCACATGGTGACATTGTTGTTATGAGCTGTCTCGAGTCTCAACATCAATAATGTACTTATTGGGAAAAAAAGTTGTACTCGGTACTTAATTTTGATGATCTGTTTGGTAGTTGTTCTAACTTCTAATAATAGCAAATACTATATAATTTGGTGCTAGGTGATGATACTTATGTGATGAACCCGTATTTTCCTTAAATCATCCATCTAATATGACATTTCATATACAGGATATTCTTTGCAATGATTGTGAACAGAAATGTCGAACGCCCTTCCATTGGTTGTATCACAAGTGTGGGTTTTGCGGATCTTACAACACCAGAGTCATTACACTGCCCACAACAGATTCAGACTGCCCTACTTGAAATGACCGAGGAGTTAGGATTCTCTTTTCTGTTAAATGAGATTTTGAACCTGTAAATAATGTACAGACGGCTAGGCTCCCCGCCCCCCCAACCCCCCTCTCTAGTGTCAGTAGACTCTATACTATGCAAAAAAAGTAAAAAGTAGTTCTTCTAAAATGTACAGACGGCTAAGCTCCCCTCCCCCCCTCCTCTAGTGTCAATAGACTCTGTACTATGTAAAAGTAGTTCTTCTAAACAAATATGTTTATTGCGCTATTAAAAGCTTATATGGTGCAAGCTAATTTGGATTTAGTATCAGCTTAAGCTCAGAGGTGACAAGTTTTGACAGAAAATTCAGAGGTGGGTCTTATGGAGCTTGAGAGCCTATAATACATAATGTTAAGCTTACAAAAAAACTAATGTTAACAACAACTGTATCGTGGCTTTGCTTCTGTGAGCTTTCATAAGTCAAAATATTTTAGAAGCCTATAAGTTTATGGGAACCTTAATTACTTAATTTGTTGTTAGTAGCATATAATGAATATGATGTTGAATCCTCCGTTTATCAAAAAGTAAAAAATGTCACTTTATTAGTTTTCTTTCTTCATCATTTCTACTTTGCTAAGACAAACGCATATTCAATTTCATAATGAAAGACGGTTGAATTTTCTTGAGACGACTAAAAAATGATAACATATGAAGTCTAAAAGTGTGGCCAAATGCAACATGACTATCATAAAGGAAAAGAAATGTGCCACCGAAGGTTTGGGGAATGCTAAAAATCTTTTCGTCCTACCAGGTATGATCTAGTGATCCCGATTTCCATCGATCGTTTTCGAAGGATCCACCAAATTTCAGGTGAATTGGAGTTTGCAATTAATTTTAGAAAATTAGCAAATATGTCAAATAATTCATTGATAAATATTAAAACGTCAAAATAAATATTGTTAGCCAGGATGAACGTGGAAACTATTGATGCATAAGCTGTCTCTGGTTGAATCATAAAGAAGAAGTTTAGGCTAAACGGAGTCGTCAATAAATTTACAAAAAGCAACCATTAATACACATGAAAAAAATCATTCATAACAGCTTTAGTCGCCGCAAATACCTCTATTAGTCGATGCTAATACATATATTCAACGCAACTAAAAGTATGCATTAGCGGCTTTTGTCGTCGTTAGTAGCAATAACAATCGTCGCAAAAAGTCAGTATTAGCAGCAAGTATAGTCGCCACTAATAGCTTTAAAATCGCCGCTAAAAACTTGTATTAGTGGCGGCGAATTCATTTATTAGTCGCTAGTAAAAGTAGATATTACTTACGCCTTTGTTGTCGCTAAATAGCTATAACAGTCGTCGCGAAAAGAAAGTATTCACAGCAACGCCAGTCGCCACTAATAGGTATAAAAGTCGCAACAAAAAGTTATGGTAGCGACTATTATCGTCGCTAATGCTCTATTAGTCGCTGTTACAAGATCGTTTTTAGCAGCAAATTTTAACGACTGTAAAGTGCTATCTGTAGCGACTTCTGCGAATGCCTTTACTAGTTACAATAATTTGCCACTAATAGTTTATGCTTTTGCAAACTTAGCTTAGGCTACCACAAATTTATTTTGGGTTACGCATACGTATTATCCCATTAACAATATGTATAACATCTTCTGTTAATACACAAGTTTGAGGATGTTTTGCAATAAAAGTACTAATCAATATGTTCCTAGTGTTTACCACAAAGCTCGACTGTTTGTTACCATTAAATACTATCACTAATAATAGTAAACATTTTTTTCTTATGTATTATTAATTTTCAACAATATAGCAATATTTCATATTCACAAACACACAAATAGTATGATCGATTTTCATAATATTTTCAAATTTTCATTTTCTTTCTTATCAAGTGCATCTACATGCAGATTTCATTCGTATCAGACTATTTTGCAATTAAATAATCATACATAGCATCTTCATTACGTTGATCAATGAAAACAAAATCGTTCTTAAATCTATCATATTAAATATAATAACTTCATGAAAATCCTCTTCCTATTTATTGAATATGCATGTCTTCAATAGGATTAAGTGAATCCACGTGAATTCATTGGCAATACAAGGATAAAAAGTATTTGTTGCTTAACTATATAGTCGTCTTTGTTTTCTTACGCATCATTCAAAAAATAGGATAGTATCATCTTGCAATGAAAAGACTAAACTTTCATGTAGATGTATAACAATTCCACATGCAACAAAATAGGAGGTATTAGGTAATTCTTGGACTATTTATCTCACAATTTATACCTTAGAGATGGGATAAATTATCTCATATATGTGATGGAATAATTCTCAAATTTTTGTTCCATTAAATGTTTTGATTTAATCCAAATCAATATTTTTCGTTTTGTTGTCTTTTTATTGGTCACGCAACCAAGTTTACTAATTGCTATTTTTAGACGATTTACAAAAAAATTCATTTTGTCGTCTTTTTATTGGTCACACAAACAAGTTTGCTAATTGCTATTTTGAAACGATTTACAGTAAAAAAGAAAGAGTTGCTTAAGTGGCTAACACCTTGTACAGCAATCCTAAAAGTTGTGGATTTGAATCACCCCTTCCTGGGAGCTTCCATTATTTGCTTTCTTGGTGACTCAAACCAATAACGTTAGGATTGGAACTAGAGACATTAACCATATAAGCAACTCTTTCTTGTGTTCCATTCCATTTTAGTTATTGTTTTAGCTCATAAAATTTGTTCCAAAATAATTGTCATTTTAGAAATTCAAAATTAGAGTTGACAATTGTTTTCAACTATACCCTTGGCATTAAAAAAAGTATGCAAAATATTTGACAGAAAAAATCTATCTACCAAGCATAACCTAACGAAATTAACATTATATTTTTTGATTACTTAATAAGCAAAAAAAGCTATACACTGTATTTATTATTTTCTTAACAAGCATAAAAAAGCTAAGGCGACAACTAAAATAGAACGGGGAAGTGTAATAGACTTCAATAATGAAGCAGGCTTTCCTCATTTGACAGAAAGAATGAATCACAAATAGTTAAGACTAGCTAAAAAGAGCAAGACATGTCATTCTACCTTCAAGATCCACTTTCAGCTTTACCAACAAGAGTCCATACTACTAGTTGCTAAGAAAACATCAGATACTGACTGAGAAAACTAACAAGAGTTAAAGACCCAACCCAAGGGTTGTTAATTTCAACATACATGTACATTAACACCACCAAATAAATGGATGGCCACCAAAAACATTCAGTACCATAGAGGATGAACACGCGTTCTATGAATATAATCTTCTCATTCGAGATGGTTCAGGTTCAATGAAGGACCATCTGGAGCAGTTCCTTTAGACAAGTTCATCTCTGCATCAGTTACTCTCATTGTATTAGAGAAGGCCACCACATTCTTCATATTTCCTATTATATACTCATACTGGAAAAATAAGATTATTATTATTAGTCTTCGTATCTTGCAAAATACTAAAACAAGGCTTAACAAATCATGTAGAGTAGTACTTACTGCATCAACTTGTCCACTCCGGTAGCTCAAATCAATGGCTTGTTTATGGTTTAGCTCTGTCAAATCCTCAACCTAGAGGTGACAGACAATAAATCGTCCAGATCAGTGCTCGCAAAAGCAGCATAAAGAATGAATCCACACAAATGGACTAATGAAGAAGCAATACCTTTTTTTGCGAGTCAAAATACAGAGTTTTGTAGCTGGTATCTGTCTGTGGAACTTTACTTGCAGAGGGCCTTTTACCTCTCTGTTCAGAATTCAAATAGAAGGTTTCAGATACATAAGAATAAAGCAAGTGATTAAAACAACTTCATAAGAGACGCATTATGCTGGAGAAACAAAGAAAAATACAACACACTGTATTGTATATTGATAAACAAGTAAAAATAATATTTGAGTCGCGTTGTATACTGTCCTAAGAAATTATTACAATAATGTGAAATATCTCCCCAAAACTAAACAAACTCTCTACAAGGTATAAAGATTTCAGCGTAGTCTAATAGATAATCTAAAAATCCAAAAACTTTAGATTTAGGTTAGAGTTTCGGGTTGGCCAAAATTATGCCCACTCCTAATTAGTACGGAGATAAGTTATTCATGCTCGAGAGTGAAATAATAGTATCGAGATTAGTTATCTCAAAAATAAAACAATGAAAATGACAAAAATACCTCTGCGGTCTCTCAAACCCTTTTTCTACTTAATAAGATGTGCGGCATTTTTTTAACACTTCCATGAAATTTGATTTCCAAGGGCCTGAGCAAGTTTTGGGGGTTTTGGACTTCTGATCACAAAACTTTCATTTTTTTTTCATATAAAATGTATTTCGAAACAACTTTAAAATTTCTATCGTCAAACAAAAGCAGGAGGGAGAAAGTAGTACTTAAAGAAGCAAAAATACTGAAGTATATGCAGGTAAAACAAAGCATAAAAAATCAAACAAGAGGAAAAAAGAGTACTATACAGAACCTTATTATCGGCTGCTTCCTTGGAGGCTTTGATCTTCTTCGTCATTGTTGGCTCATCAGCAATTTTTGGAACTAATGTTGTCTTCCTTGTAATTACTTCCGATCCAGCAACTTTAGAGTTCTTCTTATTTATTGCTTCGATGGCGACTATTGGATTCATCACATTTTTTGCTTTGGCTATCCGCTTGCTCGTGCGGATCGGGTCAATCGAAGCTTTTGGATTTCTCCTCATTTCTGATCTCAAACTAAAGTAAAAATCACAGTAGAAAAGCTTTGATTTCTTCTTTCTCCTCTGTAACAGTAATACTTTTCTCTCTTTTGCCCTTGTTAGAGATGACAAAAATTGAAAGCAAGTGAGCGTTTTACGAGACTGATAAAGCTGTTATGAAACTGGCCTTAATTCGTGCAGAGCAGGGGTTTAATCTCTGTCGTTCAATTCGATTCCTGCCTGCAACGTGTAAGGTGGAGATTTCTTTGGGTTTGCTTGTTTCATCGCGTAATTGGAATCGTCTTATTTGGCGCCAAGGCGAATGACTTTTCCTTTCTTAACATTTATCTTATTAGTATTTTTTTTTATTTTGCTCTTTGAATTTAAAAAAATACATTTTATATTATAAATTAGATTGAATTGAACTTTTTAAGTTTGATTTTGATTAGTTTGTTTATATAATTCAAATTTTAATATTTTGTTTCTTAGAAGTTAGAACTTTGTGGAGTATTGAGGCCACACTGTTATAGTCCATGTCGTATAATTTCGTGTTGAAATGTTGTATAAGGTTGTTGGTTACTAATCTGGACCTTTGAAAATTGAAGTTATTATTATTGTATATGTATAAGGTAAGTATGATTGAATATAAGGTATATAATTTTGAATTTTTGAATAGTTAAAAATTTGTGATACTAAACTTGATATTCAATTTAAAATTTATAATCGTCTTTTAAAAAAAATGAAATATAACTCATAATTCAAAAATTTAATGTTAACGAGACCAGCTTCCTTTGAGGGAAGACAGAATTGAATCTATGTTGTGAAAGATTCAATTGATTGTCCCTAAAATTGCACTATACAATTAGAGTAAAACCATTTTAAATAATAAATATATAAATTATTAAATATCCTTGATGTAGTTGTGTATTTAATTTCACTCACCACGCAAGTCTTGTTTGATTAATTTGTTTGTTATTCTAACATTTGGTAATTGTTTAATCTCGTGATTAACTATCCCAATATTGTTATTCTTAAGAATCGGATGTTTGAGTTTTATGTATATATATGGTTCAAGTAGTAAAAACATTTTCTTCTGAATAATTTTTTTTAAATGATTATGATGTTCAAATCAACTTGTATGTATTTTGATTAATTTTTTATCAAATATCTACGGTCAATCTCATCTTTTATACTACCAAAATTATATATATGATCACCTATATTATTTTTGTACTATATAGTAACAAATTTTACCAAGTGGTAGTACTATATGAGTCAAATTAAGAACGTGCTCGTACTGATACTAGGACTGTTGAAGGACACCATCCAATGACTATACTCTCTGCTTCCTCATTTATTCTTTTTTCGTTACTTATTTGTATTGAAGTTCGATTAAATTTATATTTGTACCAAAGTTTCACGTCAGGCTAAAACAATTCCTAACAAAATAGACTCAATTTTTAGGGTTTGAATCAGAAATCTACCATTAAGAATGAAAAATACCTACCATATTAATTATCAGTAACAAAGTCATAATTACCACTAAGGAAATTCAAAAGGTCAGCATACAAAGAATGCAGGAAATTCAACATCTACGGTAAAAATATATTTTAAAAAATAGTTTCATACATATAGTATATTTTTTTCAAGGAAATGAATTCGGTGTTCAAATAAACACTCTACCTTCGCAAATGCATTTTACCGGAATCCTCATTGGTTACCTTCCCTACTCTATTTAAATACCTACGTATATTATTGTCCTCTCTTTGTCCCTATGGTCTTTTATATTATGATTAGTAACTCACTAGTTGTTTATGTCCCTTGACCTAAAAATGCAATTTCTTTCCCTATTTTTGGACCACCTAATGAAAAGTTCTTTGAATGGCTCTGGCTGGATATTTATTTAGTCGTGCAAAGCATAATGAATGATTTAAAGTTAATTATCTACCAATTTTGGTGGCCTAAATGAAGCTACTTTTAACTATTACTAATATATTTTTAATAATATACTAAGTGTGAGTTTGGACACGATTTGGTTGATATTTTTAAAAGATAGTACTAATAGTCAAAATAAGTTGAAAAATAATAGTATTTGAAAGTTGAAGTGTTTTGGAAGTGAAAATAGAGTTGAAAATTTTTATGAGTAAGAACTTCAAAAATCTGAGTTAATATCTATTTTTCAAACTTCAAATTTTACATTTTAGGTTAAGACGAAAAAATGGGTCAGTCTAACAAGCAAAATACTTATTTGAAATAGTCTCCGAATAATAACAATAGCATACTCAGTGTAGTCTATCAAGAGCTCTTTTATCCCTTTCTTTTATATAAAAATATTAGGACCAATTTCGACGCACTTAAACTAATTTAAAGTCTTTTTTATTTCTTATCAATATAGATATCGAATAACTATCCTTATCAAATTTAAAACTTAGATATATGGTGAAAAAATCACTTTAACATGTTATATATATGTTGGAATTTGTGTAGCTGTCAAGGGCTCTTTATAAGTTATTTTTCAGTATCATCCAAAAGTGAAAACACTAGGAAAATAGAAGAAGCCATGATACACACATAAACATAATTTCCAGTAATATATATTACTAAAATATATCTTCACCTACTTTGGTTTCATTTATTTAATTATATTTGAGTTGTGAACTTGGTAAGAATCATAATTTTGACTTTATATGGATGATATATACTATATTGTCTTAATCTCACAAAATAAGACAAAAACAGCAACGGACACAGTAAACCACTTTTTAAAGTAAAGTTTGAACCCAATCACTATATGGTACTATAATGATATACTATATTATAAAATAAAAATAAAAAAATAGAAAGGACAGACCTAAAAGTAATCTTGAAATTTATATGAAATAATAGATAGATATATCCAAGATAAATTATAAAGGAAGAAGCCAGAGAAGACAATCATAAAATAAGGTTTATATCTATGTCTTTGTGTCTCCTTAGACAATGACAGTGGGGGATATTACATGAATGATATGAATTTGTACATTTTAACTCATCCACCAAAAAATCATCTTTGAATATGGATTTTTTAAAAAATAAAAATAAAAATTGTTTAGTTATACATTCTAAATCAGGTGAAAAAAAAAAGATTTCTACTCACGAATTTCAAGTGATATACACAATATACAGTTTAAAAATATCTTTAACTTTCAAATTACCTTCGCAACAACTTCGACTTCAAAAACCCTTTCTTTTGGTATAAATATACTCATGTTTGTACTATTAAGTATACTTTTTGCTACATTTTCGATATAAATATACGACTTCTCTTATATTTTTAGTCAAATATATACTTTATGATGAGCTCAGAAATAAATAACAGATGTAAATATGGTAAATTCATAAATAAATAAATCATCCCTATTTATAAATACCCAATTCACTTTACAAACCCACCCCACCCATCACTAGATCCTAGGAAGTGTTTGATCATATATTTTTTTTTCCTTTTCAAAATATTATTTGGTTATTTATTCAAACCAGGTGGAAAAATTCTACTCACATTTTTTTACTTTTAAAAAGTGAAATATACGTTCAAACACAATTCAACTTTGACGTACTTTTTTTTTTCAACTTTAATTTTTCAAAATTTCAACTATGTCCAAAACTTAGAACTCATAATTTTAGATATTTCTGTTATCATGATAGCCAAACAAGACAAAATAGAGACGAATTCTGCAGATATTCTGAATACATTTTTTTTCCTTCTGTTCAAATAACTCAAAAAAATAATCAAGAAATCTTGAATTTATAACAAACTGTGATGCATTTCATATAGTGATCACTACAAATTGGTACAAACAATATCATTTCTTACTCTTTTTATGTTTCCCATTGCGAAACAGAGACCCAAATCCAAATAAATTTTGTGATGCAACATTAAGAACTGGACTAATTCTAATACCATTACCATAATTAGTCCCTGCTGCTCCATAATTCTTCCTTAATGGCGGTTTTTGAGATGATGGAAATGTGTAAAAACTTGCTGGTGTTGATGAATTCTTTATTTGCTTTAATTGCAGAGCACCCTGTTTCTTGGAATTTGGTACTGAACCAGTTGAATTGCTTCGAGATAATAAAGGTAATGACCAAAACGAACTACTTTTCTTGTGTGTATTAACACAATGAACACTACTGCTTCTTTTAATACCCCAAAAAGAATGATTCTTTTGTTGCTCTGTTTTGATTTCTTGTTTTGGGTTTTGATCATTTTGGTCAATTTGTGGAAGGGGTGGAAGAGATTGAGTCTTTTTTGATAAAATGGTTTGTTTTGAAGAATTGACAAACTTTTCTTGAAGTTGAATTGGGCGAATTAAGCCATCTGAAAAGAGTTCATCTGCTGATGAAGTTTCTGTATTGCTGATACAGAAATCAAATTCAGAATTTGAAGGAACAGGTTCTTGGATTTGTGTGTTGTGAAGAATATTAGTAAGATTTGAAGGTGAAAGATTGTGGGAAAAAGAGATTCTTGGACTTGTAGCTAAGCTTGGAGGCTCAGATATCATATCAATGGCCATTTTTTATTTTGTTTTGTTTTCTTTGGTTCAATTATTGAAAGAGGAGAGAAGAGGAAAAGGGAAAGAAGACAAATATTCAAATGTGATGTGGGAATACTGACAGACTACAGAGGAGAAAAGGAAATTTTGCAGAGAATGGTTGCAGAGTCAAAAGGAAAGAGAAGAAGAGGCTAAATAGGTGGTTGGAATTTTGGGGCACTAGTAGTTTGACAATGATCAGTGGTTTTTCTGTCTAAAACAAATACTAAAAATCTACTTGGATATTGGATAGGGTTATTTATTCTTTAATTAAATATCTCGATTTTGAATTTTAGTTATTGATAGAGATCACTTTTTTGGGATAAATTTTATGTAAGTTGAATATAAATTAATCAAATTTCAATACTTGAGAGATATATTATAGATTTTGTTTAAAAGATGATTAAAACGAAATTGTATCATGTACTTTAAGAGAGTTCACATGTTCATGTATTTATCCTTCTTTCTTTCTTTTTTATATATAGTTTTTCATATTTAGTGACACTTCATTATTTTCACTGAATTTAAATAAGTTATTTATAAAATATCTTCAGAAAAAAAGGAAAAAAACATATCGAACTTTGTAAATC